TCTATCAATCCAAGCCTTGCCCGAGCTCCCTCTTAGTGCCAGGGATGTTACCGCTGAAACAGGTACAGATCACACACTTTCACGTGTCCGCTCCTGGGTCCTGTCCGGGTGGCCTGAGCACTGCCCTAGTCCTGAGTTTCAGAGTTTCTGGTCCAAAAGGAACGAGCTGTCCCTTTCTCAGGGTTGTCTGCTTTGGGGAAACAGAGTTGTCATTCCCACCTCAATGAGGACTAGGGTCTTAGAATCCCTCCACGAGGGTCATCCTGGCATTGTTCGTATGAAGGCTCTTGCACGCAGCCACTTGTGGTGGCCTGTGTTAGATAAGGATATTGAGGCTCAGGTGCATGCATGCCACCTGTGCCAACGATCTCGCCCAGAGATGCCCCAAGCTCCCGTGCATAAATGGGAGGAAACACCGTCCCCATGGTCTAGGGTGCACATTGACTACGCTGGGCCCTTTCAGGGCCAGTTCTTCTTGGTCCTTGTTGACAGCCATTCAAAATGGCTTGAGGTTGTACCTGTCTCATCCACCACCACCAGGTACTGAGGGGGATTTTTGCTGCACACGGGCTTCCAGATGTCATTGTGTCTGACAACGGCCCTCAATTCACCTCCTCCGAATTCCAAGCTTTCTTACAGGCTAACATGATTCGTCATGCCACGTCTGCACCCTTCCACCCGTCCACCAACGGTATGGCCGAACGTATGGTGCGCATCACGAAGGACGCCTTGAAAAGACTCACCTACGGGGACTGGCATCACAGGTTGGCTGACTTTCTCCTTTCTTATCGCACCACACCATCCACTTCTACAGGGAGAAGCCCAGCTGAACTTCGTTGGGGGCGTCAACTTACTACTAAACTTGACCGGTTGCATCCGGACAGATTGTCTTCATCTACCTCACATCCTAGGGCACCTAGACAACTACTTGAGGGTGCCCCGGTCTGGACTCGCAATTACGGGCCTGGTCATACATGGGTCCCCGCTTCTGTCTCCAGGGTCACGGGTCCTCTATCCTACGAGGTAGCCCTGGACAACAGTCGTGTCCTGCGCAGGCACATCGACCAACTCCGCCCTAGGCAGCATCTTCCAGCTGAGACTCCTGGGTCTTTTCCAGGGGGGGAGGGGGACCCTTTGGAGCAAAGGGAAGGGCACGAGCTGCTGCCCATCTCCATTGATGGAGCCACTGACGGCCCATTTCAAGCTTCCGCAAGTGCTCCGAAAAGGAATTCATGGAGCTTACCCACACAATAGGCACTCACGCCTACTCCAGCCAGGGAGTCACCCCGGGGGCATACTCACTTTCCACACACATCACACAGCACTCCAGTCACGGAGGATACCCGGGAGCATCCCAACAAATCATTCCCCGCAAGAGAGCTGGCACACAATCCCCAGAGTTGGCCTGACCTTACCCCAAATCCTACAGGGGGTCAAACCTACAGGGAGGTGGTCGAGGAACCAAGTCCCGACTACAACACCTCTAGCCCAAATCAGGAAGTAACTGAATTTTGGGAAGGTACAGAATCCCACACAAGCCCGAACACAGAACGGGACTTAAGGGATGGACAACCCTCTGACAGGTCTTGGTTGGACTTAGGAGGGTCTGCAGAAACGCCCAGCAGTGGCTATCACTTCAAGGGGCCCAAGGGCCTACAGCTAGGCGGGTCAACCAGGTCACAAAGTGACAGGAGCCCTGGCCTGACAAGCCCGGTGGGCAAGCAAGCAGGCCAGGCATTGGGGCAAAGTCCTTGGAAGGCACCAAGGCTTGATAAGGGGAACAGGCTCTTGTCACCCCTCAGTCAGGGAACACCTGTCAGAAACCCAGAACTGAGAAGGTCACAGAGAGCAAGGAAATCTCCTAAATACTTAGAAGATTACATAACATTGCTGGCTAAACAAAAGCCAGGTAACGATAGGAGCACTGGGAAGCAGAACACTGCATAAATAAATGATTACATGTTGGTAGTAGTTTCAGCCCGGGGGAAAGGGGTGTTATGTCCCGAGCCTTGCAAACGGCTCGGGGCGTTTGCAGGCAGTCCCGGGCAGGTGTAAAGCTGCCCGGGACCAGACAGGCTGTCGCCAGCGCCGTGCGCATGCGCGGGTGCTGGCGCGGGAAAAGTATCGCATTGACCCGGGAACTGTCTATATAAGAAGCTGAGAGGTTTTGGGAGCTGCTGAAGCCATCTACTTGTAAGCTGAACGCAGAATAAAGAAAACTGAGAACTACAACTGCTTCTCGTGTCTTGCATTTCCGCGAAGGACTCAACAGAAACTAATCAAGGAGAGAAGCAACCTAGAACTAAGGAGAAACTTCCTGATAGTCAAAACAATTAACCAGTGGAACAACCTGCCTCCAGAAGCTATGAATGTGCCAATACTGGAAGTTTTTAAGAAGAGACTGGACTGCTATTTGTCTGAAATGTTATAGGGTTACCTGCCTGAGCAGGAAACAAGATGACCACCAAGATCCCTTCCTCCTCCTCCTCCTCCTCCTCCTCCTCCTCCTCCTCCTCCTCCTCCTCCTCCACCACCACCACCACCACCATCAGGCTTTCATGTTGAAGGTGGGACTAGAACTTACAGTTTCCTGTTTTCTAGCCTGGTCTCTTAACCCCTAAACCAAAATGACTCCATGTTTTTCCGTAACTCAAGCAACCACCCCACCCTTTTGACTTTTAACAGCGTGTGTGTGTTGGGGGAGGGGGGAAGATGATGATTGACAGAGGGAGAATACAACGTTTCACAGAAATTAGGGAGCTTTCAGAACTTACGGATTACTTTTACAAACCATACTTTATAACTCCCCGAGGTTTGTTCACCAACTTCAGTTCTCTAATCTTGCACCACGATTTCCTTGCTTTGTCCTCGTACAGAGTGCAAGCCATGCAAGATTGAGATTATATTCCCCTTGCATATTTGAGGCTGGAAAACGGATTGCTATTGGATTACCTTTATTTAGAAACAACAGCTTTGTTACTTTGGTTTTATAACAATTGCCACTGCCTTCTTTCTACCAAGGGCCAGGTAAAGAGAGCCTTACCTGGAACTAGAGAACTCTGCATGCTAATTTTTATATTTTGTAATTTTAACCACTGAAAATAGGCACTACCAAACACCCTATAGTTTCCACCCTATCAAGGAAAGAAATCCGTATCATTATATCCTTCCCGCATATATTTTTGTTTGCAAGATCTGGTAAACATGATGATGGAAATGTATGCTGCCCCTGATATTCCCACTGTTGTTCCAGCGGGAAACTCTGCTGACCCAAAGATGCTTTTTTAAGAGGCAACTGGATTTTCTTGTTTTTATTTGAAGACGTTTCGCTTGTCACCCAAGAAGCTTCTTCAGGTTTAGAGCCGAAGAAGCTTCTTGGATGAGAAGCGAAACATCCTCAAAGAAAAACAAGAAAGTCCAGTTGCCTTTTGAAAAGGCGTCTTTGGGACAACCATGACCGGGATGACGGAGAATCTCCATGGACACTTAGAAGCTCTGCTGTGTTGTGGCATGTTAAGTCAACAAGATATTAAACCCAGGCCAATTTTAGAGAATAGACATTTATTGACTCTTTTTAGCATAAAAGCAAGAATTTAATGCAGGAGAGTTGTTTACTATAATGTTTAGTAACTTCAGAATGACTAACATAGTTCTTATATGTGGCAGAAAAGCTGTAATGAATCAGTAAAAGAAATATTAACATGTAAAAGTAACAATTGAACGGCAAAAAAGAGTTAAAAAATCCTATTTCAGTCTTAAGATTACAACAGTATGGAAAACAACATAGTGTAATAGCAGATAATAACTGTATGATTAACAACAAATAAAAGAAATTCTTATTATCTAGCCCAAAACTCAATGTTTAATTACTCTGTTCATTCTGGCTGATTTGATCAACCCCTTTCTCTTGATTTCCTGGAAACTTACCGTCTAAAAGTACTTGAAGAGTATCTCTCTAAACCGGCACTCTTTTCCTCGTTAGGTACAGTTCTATCATCGGCTTTTGATGAAAAGGGATCCCTTCTTTAAAAAGTAACATTTTTACAATGCCTTGTTCTTAAGATTTGCTATCTTAAAGTTTATTTGCAGAAAGTAAATTAGGGGTGGTTGTTAGAATCTAGCCATTCTTGAGCTGTACCAAAGTGATATGAAAAGGTGTTAGAAGGACTCAAGAAGCCGGGAAAACTGAGAATCTATCACCTATATTTCAGTGAGCAGAGTAATCCAAGCACCCATCTCTCTAAGAGATGATAGATCAGGCTGTTGGATCCAGCAGGGGGTTGGACTAGAAGACCTCCATGGTCCCTCTGTTATTCTGTTAATTGATAAGCATCTCCAAAGAAATACAGACCTAAAATTGCTAACCCCAGGAAAAAAATGTAGACATTGTATTCATCCCCCAATTAATGTGTGTGTATGTATATATGAAGAGAGAGAGAGAGAGAGAGAAAGAGAAAGAGAGACAGAGACTTGATTGTACCATCACTCCAAAAATGAAGGAAGCCTGTAGTGACAATAGAATTAACAGCAATGAATGAAATTGGACATCACATTTTTAATATTGAACTCTAGCTACATACAGTACATATCCCAACCCCTTTCTCTATCCTAGAGACACAAAGTATGGTAAAAAGAGAAGCACACGAAACACACTTCAGCTTTTCCTCCACCAGAAACAGCCCAAAAAGAGAGGAGTGGTAGGGCAGACAAACCAGTAAGCAGATCAGCAGACAGAGAGAGAGGTATTGGTCCATAAAAATTGATCGAAGTGGAAAAGAGGTAACTGTTGCACTAAAGGAGAAACAAAAATAGAAATATTTAGTAGGAGCCAACATGAGCCCCTACCTCAGAAATGATCAGCCAAGATGATTTTTGAAAGGTTCCTATTCTGTTCCAGACAGAACAGACTGCTTTCCGTCCAATCCAAAACAGATAGATAACTCAGAAGAATAAACAGAAAATATTGCTTTTATTTCTAGGAATCCTAAACAATAACTCACTCTTATGTAGCTACGTCCAGAAACATATTTGCAATATTGGTTTATTCCACAGGTAAATTGATATTGAATTTTCCCCTCTTCTTCTGCTAAGCATCACATGTTGGCAAAGGATCTCCAAGCCGTGTGGCTAGGAGACATGAAGCTGGATGAAAAAAGGCATTCCCATCTGGCTTGTGTCCAGGAAGTCTCCCAATGACCAATGACCTTTTGAGACTCCTCCCACTGACCCATCAACATACGTAGCATTTAACCCAATAACTGCCAGATATTCTAACATACTGATACATGCTCACTCGTTAGGGATACATAGAGCTATATGGTTCAGAATAGATCCTGAATGGCAATATCTATAGCCGTTTCTTGGTTTTCTAGTTTTAGCAAATACAAGATGATTGAGTGGCCCAATTCACATCCTATTACTCTGAGGGAAATGCAATAATACAGAAGAGCCTAGATCAGGGGTAGGCAACCTTGGCTCTTTTATGACTCGTGGACTTCAACTCCCAGAATTCCTGAGCCAGCTATGCTGGCTCACGAATTCTGGAAGTTAAAGTTCACGAGTCATAAATGAGCCAAAGGTGCCTACCCCTGGCCTAGACTGCCTCCATTTCCCTCATAGATTGAAAGACATTTCTACATGAATTGATCAGCTTCATCCTCGGTGATTTCCCTCATTCCTTTGTGCACATTATATTCGATCGCTTTCCTCTCCGCTTCCGGCACTTCTGGCAAGACAGCCTTCAGCTCAGAATTGATTTTGGCCACTCTGGCATGGATGTTATTTTCAAATTCTTTCTTTTGCTTAATGACCAGGTCCTCTATCGCTTTTCGGGCATTGTCACAGCCGTCTGCTAGTTTGATCCGCTCCATCCAGAATTGGGGATCAGAAGGGTCCATGGAAATAAGCCTGCTCAGGCTGCCCACATTATCCATCAGGTATTTTGAAGACACGTCTGTGTAGGTCTCGGATATCATGTGCACCAAATGAGCTATGTTGGACGCATTGAAGGCCTGTTTATAGATCATATCTATGACAAAGTCTTGGTGAGAATAATTTGGAATTTGGGGAAGATCTTCGTCCGATTTCACAAATTCCGTCAGGCGCTTATTGAGACAGGAATCAATGAGATTCGAGATCATCTGGAAGAAATGCACCATTTTCTCCCACTGCTCCTTCACTCTTCCCATGGGGTCCAGGCCTTTGATCAGCATCTTTTGGGCTTTTTCAAAATCAATCTCCTTTATTTCGCATTTCCTCATTTCACTGAGCACGTCCAGCAAATCCTTATTCTGCTCCTTTAAGTTGTCAAAGCTTTTCTGGTACTCTTCTTGACTCATCTTCAGTATTTCTTTCATTTGCTCGGTTTTCAAAAGGCTGTTTTTCATCGCTGATGACAACGATGAGTCTTCTTGGACATTTTTCTGGGATTTGGCCATATTTGGTGCCATGGGACCAAAAGGGGATGTGCGGCTGCAGAATTTGCTTCTGCTGTCGAAAACCTCAATATCAATCGAGAGGGTGTTCATTTTCTTTATCAGTTTTTTCTGGTTTATGTTCCCTGATACTGCTCTTTCAGTTAACATATTGGAAATCTTGATGATATCGTTACATATTTTCACTGCCACATTTTTCAGGCTGCAGTTTCTTTCTTTTTTTATTTTCTCTAACAGTTGCTGGGATTTCTTTTTGATCCATATGGTTTTGATTTCGTTGTTTTTTTTATTGTAGAGGACATCCATGTCAATATTACCTTCATCATCCACCACGGTTTTAAGACCGTCCACCAATACCACCATTTGACCTGACAGGGCACAGATGTTGTTCATGGCTATAAAGTCATCCCTACTTTCAAACTCTTCCTCACTTCTGCTGTCGATTGGAGAAAGCAATTTATTTCTGTTAAAGCTGAGCAAGGATGTCAGGCAGGTAATGGGCACCGTCAAGGTTTCTCTTACAGTTGAAGTGAAATCCAGAATTACACTACTCCAGCCGGTAGGAATGCTATCTATCGCTTTTCTATAATCGTCAAACGTATCAGTCACTCTGTTCTTTACTTCCTTGTAGTATTCCTCTGCTTTGGCCTGGGCTTCTTCAGCTGCTGCTTTTCTTAGCTTCAGGTCTTCCAAGGCGTGTTTGGTTTGCGTCAATCCTTGTTCATACTGTGATTTGGAACTCATACACACTTCCAGGAGTTCCTCAGTCAGACAGATGACATCATAGAACTTATTGTCAACTGCCTTAGCCAAAGAGGAACATTCATTTGCAATTGATTTCAGGCTGGATAGCTGTCCAGGGAGCAAGGCATCTATCAAGGTAAGGTCATCCTGGAATAAGGTCTTCATGACCATCTTGATTTGCTCAGGGACGCTCATAGAAAGGAGCCGGATACCATCCATATTCTTGTGGGCTATGCTGAAGGCATGCCACCCACTGTTGCTCACCTGCATCAGGGAGGCCTGGAAAGAGTCCGGATACCTCATATATTTGTAGCCTCCCTCGGGTGGGGCAAGATTGATGGCAAAGTCTCCTTGTCCTGCAGCAATGCAAGCCAGCTCCCCTAAGAGGGCGATGGAAATGGGCCTAGGCATCAGATACTCCTCCCAATTTGCATGGGGCTTCATCATCAGTTCTGTCTCCTTTCGGACTTCCTCTGCTTTGCTAATGTTCATCACAGCTCTCGTAGCAAGCGCCCCTTTGGGCTGGACAGCCATTTCGGCCTGGATAAAACAAAAAGAAGAAGAAAGGTTGAACCGTCAAAACTGTAGTTTCTGGAATACCTCGATTGGAAAAGAACCCAGTGAACTCAGGAGTTCTAGAAGACTTTGCCACGTCCAGGATAATACAGTCATAACGTTTTTTTTACTGGCACTAATTTCCTTTTCAGAAATATGCATGCCAAGCACAGGAAACCAGGAGCTGAGGCGGTTGAAATGAATACAGGTTTATTGCATGTTAGCACTCTCTACAAGAATCTGAAGTGCTAAAGGCAGATTGGTGGTCGATAAGGGTCAACGGAATTCAAGGTGCGCTGGCCTTAGATCTCTTGTGAGCGTAAAGGGACTCGAGACTGATGATGTGCTTGACCCCTCCCTCAGGCTCAGTCTGGTCATCTCCTACAATGCAAAATTTGCCTGACTTGCTGCATTTTCATAACTTAGATTTAGAAATTCACTTCTGAACCTTTGTTTCACATGTACTTAGCTTGCTTCTATCAGAAATGTTGAATTTTAGCTCCTATAACCTCCAAAGCTAACCCAACGGCCACATTCAATGGGGATTTACAGAATTAACATCCAACATATCTGGACAGAATTTTTTAAATATTAATTTAATTAATATTAATTAAATGTTGTTTATTAAGTCTTTAAATGTTGTTTAACCAGTGCCAGCAATAAAAATGAATACATTTTTATACTTCAATCTAAATAACTGAAAACAGCTCTATGATTAAAAAACCTAAACAATAAAGCTAAAAGAAAAAAAAGAAAAAAACTAAAAAGAAAAAAATGCAGAACAATGTTCCAATAATATTTTCTACTTGCTTAGTATGCCAAAATCAGCGAAATCATAGTTACACAAATCATTAGAGTCAATGTTTGAACAAGAAATCAAACCAAGTTTATATGGAGTCCTGTTATCTGATCTTGCCTTTCTGGCAATACAAAATCTGTTCAAAGATTGAAAGCTGACAAATTCTGTTTAACCAAATTTTGAAGTCTCAAATACATTCATTCTTCAACTAATTACACAATCCCATTTAGTGCCACAGTAAAACCACAATACAGATAGTCCTCAACTTACCACCTACAACCATTCATTTAGTGACCATTCAAACTTACAACAGCACTGAAAAAAGTGACCCATGACCCTTTTTCACATTGAACAACCATTGCAGCATCCCCCTGGTCACGTGACCAAAATTCGGACACTTGGCAACAGGATCCTATTCGTGGCAGTTGCAGTGTCATGGGGTCAGGTCTGTTGTGGCCTCCTGATAAGCAAAATCAATGGCAAAGCTAGATTCATTTAACAACCGTGTTACTAACTTAACAACTTCGGTGATTCACGTAACTGGCAAGAAAGATCATAAAATGCTGCCAAACTCACTTAATAACTATCTTACTTAGCAATGGAAATTTATTGTCGTATTTCAAGAAGTACCTTGTTATGTGCTCCTGGCTACTTTCCTTCGTGACTAGAGGCAAGCTCGCCTGACCAATAACCAGCCAAGACACAGTGAAGGCCTTTTGTTTCGTTTATTGCAATAAGCGGGGAGAGAAGCTTTCAAAGCTTAGTTCTCTCCAAAGTTTTAACCCAAAATATCTCCTTCTTTTATTCATCCCTATCACCGGCCGCTACAGCCCTCCTCTTTCCCCATTGGCTGAGGTAGTATGAGGTTACATTCTTTCCGTCCGCCTATACACATTTCCTGATAACATACTAAATCATATTCACATATACAATAAGAATAAGAAAAATTAGACATGGAAATGGTTATTTTAAACTCAGATATATTTATGTCCCTATTTTAAACAATAAGTTCTTTTCCTGCTTTTCAATTCAATGTGCCTCTCTTCTTATCTTATTCAGCTTATTTTCCTTATTCTCCATTCAACCTTCCTTTCTGGCTAGCCATTTCCTATAAAAAAACTATCTATTTTATGACTTTCCTCTTCCTTTCTCAGACCCAGCTATTTTTACCTCTATGGTTATCTTACTTCCTTAATGTCTTCCTGACTCTCACCATCTGTATTTTTCTTACTCGTTTCCATTGTATTGTAGGTTTTAACTGTCTCTGAAGATTTATCATATTTTTTTTTATTAAAAGTTTTATAAATTTTACAAAAGAAACAAAACAATACAAAAGCAAAAAACAACATATACAAAGAAAAAAACTGAACATACACAACAAAGCCCCCCTTCCCCAACCCCCACCCAAACACCCCCCCTTCCCCCCCCTGAGCTTCCCAGAGCAGAATATAGGCTTAATTAAAAAACAGTTAAAAAATTATATTTATAGAAAAAGAAAAAAAAGAAAAAAAGGAAAAATATAACATTAACATATATATATATATATATATAAAAATAAAAATTATGAAAAAGCTATATGATATTTTTTTATATCCAATTTAAATTGTATAAATTTTATCCATTTATCCCAAACAGCAAGAAATTTCTCTTGCGTTTGTTCCTTTAAAAAAGCCGAAATCTTTGCCATTTCCGCCAAATAAGACACTTTAAGAAACCATTCCTGCAATGTAGGCAAAGATTCCTTCTTCCAATATTGTCCCACCAACAGCCTCGCGGCTGTAATCAAATTTAACATCAATATAACCTCCTTTGTATCACAATCAGTAACTATACCCAACAAAAGTAATTGCGGAGTAAATTTTACCCTCCTTTTAAAGATTCTCTGGATATTCCACCATATCTTAATCCAAAATGCTTTTATCTCTCTGCACGACCACCAAATATGATAATAGGTAGCGTCCATACAACCACATCTCCAACATTTAGGTTGTAAGTCAGGGTACATAAAAGACATTTTTTGTGGATCAAGGTGCCATCTGTAAAACATTTTATAAAAGTTCTCCCTTAAGTTCTGTGCTTGTGTAAATTTGACATTTCTCACCCAGATAATTTCCCAGGTGTCCAATGAAACTGGCTCACCAAAATTCTGCACCTATCTGATCATGCAATCTTTGATTAGTTCCATTTCTGAATCCAGTTTAACTAAAACCCCATAAATTCTCTTAATGTGGGTTTGTCTTTGATCCTTCACTTGCTTAATAAAATTTTCATCTTCTCTAAGAAAACCCACCTTACAATCCACCTTCCATCTATCTACTAATTGCCTATATTGGAACCAAGAATAAATAATATTTTCTTGTGCTAACTCTTCCCGTGATTTTAACTGCCAGTTTTGTCCATCCCATCTAAGTAACTGTCTATAAGACACCATATCCATTTTAACACCTCTTTTTACTCCTTCTATCGCATGCCAAGGTATAGCCCATAATGGTACTTTAAAATCGCTCTTGTAATATTTTCTCCAAATCCTAAGTAAAGAAATTCTTAGAATATGAGAGTTAAAGACCCAATCCATTTTTTTATTAAATATTAAATAGGCATGCCACCCAAAAAGTAAATCCCATCCCTCTAGATGAAGTATCTCAAAATTTGTCAAATTTACCCAATCACTAATTAATGTTAGAACCACCGCATCATAGTATAATTTCAAATTCGGTACCTTGAGTCCACCCCTCTCACGGAAGTCTTGCATAATTTTGAACTTAACCCTTGGCTTTTTCCCTGCCCAAATGAATTTATTAAGACCTTTCTGCCATTCTCTTAGATTAATCTCATTCTTCAAAATCGGTAACATTTGAAACAAAAAAAGAAACTTGGGTAGAATATTCATTTTTATCACTGCAATTCTTCCCATGAGGGATAATTGTAGCTTCTCCCAATTCTTCAAGTCTTTCTGTACCCTAACCCACAACCTTTCATAGTTATTTTTAAAAAATTTTGCATTAGAAACAGATAACATCACCCCCAAATATTTTACCTTATTAACAATTTCAAAACCCGTCAAATTAACCAAAGTCTGCTTCTCCTGACTAGTCATATTTTTAGATAAAATTTTAGTCTTATTAACATTATTCTTAAAACCCGAGACCAAACCATAATAATGAATCACTTGTAATAACTTTACTACAGAATGAGTAGGTTGCGACAAAGTAACCACCAAGTCATCCGCAAAAGCTCTTAACTTGTATTCTTTTTTATTAACTTCTATTCCTTTAATTTCCTGCGACTCTCGAATTTTGATTAACAATATTTCCAATGTTAAAACAAACAGCAACGGTGATAATGGACATCCCTGCCTAGTACCTTTCTCTATTGTAAAAACCTCTGACAAACCTCCATTAACAATAAGTTGTGCCGTTTGTTTTTGATATATTACCGTAAGAGCTTGTACTATCTTTTCACCAAAATTCATCTCTTCCATTACTCTTAACATAAAATGCCAATTCAGTTGATCAAAAGCTTTTTCAGCATCTAAAAATATCAGATTTATCATATTGATGTATATTTATCACCTGGTACCTCAAAGTATCTTCATAGTCAAACTGAAGCTTTCCAATGTATTAACTGGAAACACGTTCACTTCTTTCAATGTAAGTTTATCCCTCCCCAAGAGGACTTATACATTTAATAAATTGATAGTTTAGTTGAATGCATAAAGAGAGATAAATAATGAAAGACCTGTCTTGCTTCTTCCAGTCTTTCATTTCCCTCTGACTTTGATTCAAGCCAGATTCTCATCTTTCAATGTAACCTGACTTATCCATTTAATAAATAACTGAAAACTGAATGCATATTTTGTTTTGCTTATTCTGACTTCATCTTTCATTTCCCTCGGACTTTGATTCAAGCCAGATTCAAGAGATTCCTTTGACACCCAGGAATGTATTAAGAGTTAAAGTACAATTAGATTTCACCAACAGGTGGGATTTAAGGAAAAAGCCACTCTACAGCCACCTCCTTCCGTGAACTCAGGAACGGTGAAGAGAAACAAGCTTAAATTACATCCTCGCCACAATCTGCTTCCAAATCCTAATGGAACACACGCTTGTTTCCTCAGCCTCCTTACTCCGAGCTCTGCACGACTCTTTTCAGCTATTGGCATCCCCTAGCGGAGCACAGTGACGCATAATTTTCAGACTTCGGCTGAATCCTGGCTTCCCTGCTCTTCCCCCATTTCATATGAGGACACCCCCAACCTCCACTGCAGAATCTGTCTCCATCCTCTCATTGGGCTTTCATTCAGTTCACTGTCCATAACCAGAAAATCAGCTTATCTCTGGCTCCTCCCGCCCCCCCCGGATACTCTGTGTTTTCCACCCCCTGCGGGAGAAAGTTTTATGCTCCCTTAAGGACACGACCCTCTGGAGGCTCACCTGTTGGTAAAAGACGCCGTGAGAACCACCATAAGAAATACCCCCTCCCCCGAGAGAGAGAGAGAGAGAGAGAGAGAGACACTCAGGTCGGAACTTGTTTGTCTTTGAAGTTCAGACTGGAGAGGAGCCAAAACCGGCTATATTCGCTCTGCGAGGGGTTTCGATGCTTTTGTGAAGCTCGAGCGGATGCGAGTCCTTTTTATGCAGCCTGTTTAGTTTCAGTTTCTGCTGAAACTTGCACTGATTCCTGGAAATCAGGCGTGTTCGGAAATCAGCCCAAGTTGTAAAAGGCGGCTTTTGTACCCAGGGCCTTAACTCTAAATCCTCCCCTGGATGCTTCAGGGAACTTCCAGAGGCCACCTGTGGAAACTTTGCTGCCTCTCTTAAAATGGGGCATTGCAAATCAAAACAGTTTCTGGTTTTATAAATACCCTTTGGACCTCTGAATGGGGAGTCCTTTCTTTCTTTCTTTCTTTCTTTCTTTCTTTCTTTCTTTCTTTCTTTCTTTCTTTCTTTCTTTCTTTCTTTCTTTCTTTCTTTCTCTTCTTGATCTCTGAATATTTCACCTCCATTTCTGGCAGGGATCAAGTCAGTTTCTTGCACTTTTTTCAATTCCAGTTTACCTACGCGAATGGCAATTTTTTCTCATTAAATTGGAAAGAGAGATTAGGTGGGATGTTACTAGATTCAGCCCTCGGTCCTCTACCTTTATTATTTTTTTTTAAATGACTTGGGGGGGGGAAATGATGAATTCTGTAAGTTTGCAGATGATACACAACTGGATGGGTAAAATTCTAAAGCAGATTCCATATTCAAAACCAACTTGAGAGAGTAGGAGAAAAGGCAGAATAGCATAAAGATGTTTTAATGTTTTGAATTGTTTTAATGGTTTTTACTGTTTTAAAATGTTTTGAAGATTTTAATTGTAATATATGTTTTTGAATTGTGAGCCACCCAGAGTTGTTTACTCAGATGGGGAGAAAAAGGAAAGAAAAGAAAAGGAAGGAAAAGAAAAAGAAAGAGAGAAGGAAGGAAGGAAGGAAGGAAGGAAGGAAGGGAAAGAAAGAAAAAGAAAAGAAGGAAGAAAGAAAGGAAGGAAGGAAGGAAGGAAGGAAGGAAGGAAGGAAGGAAGGAAGGAAGAAAGAAAGAAAGGAAGGAAGGAAGGAAGGAAGATCTGTTGGAGACAAATGCAAGGTTCTTTACTAAGAAAATGATTATGACATGGCAACTGTTTTAGAAAGAAGGTTGTAATTTATTGAAGAGGAGAGCCAGACAGAAAGATGACTCTGGAAAAAAGTGACCACATGAAGCAGAATGGTGGGCTTTTATACCTTCTGAGGTCTCTTGAGGTTGTTTCTTGTTCCTGTTTGAGGCTTTGTATTTCCTGTGTCATGTACTTTGACCTCAGTCTGAGTATGGTTAGATTTGGTATTGGTGAGTTAATCCTATTATGTCCTGTCTTAGAGTGGGGTATGTAGATTTTAGGGGTCTTTGTCTTCCTAATCTCTTCAGTTTCTAGATGGAAGGCGGCAACTTTTCTGAAAGAATTATTACATTTGCGTTTCTAAAAGCTGGCTTTTGCTGAGTTTCCTGGCTGGGAGGGGGGGGGGAGAAGTTTCTGCCTTTTTAAAGATCTTCTCCATTATTCCTTTGGGGAAATATATTTTGCCTTTTTAATATTCCCCTAAATATTTCTTTCTCTGGATTCTTCCCACAGAGTATATACTGTATATAAATACAGGCACACCTCGAGTTACGACCACAATTGAGCCCAAAATTTCTGTTGCCAATAAGACAGTTGTTAAGTAAATTTTGCACCATTTCACTACCTTTCTTGCCAGAGTCATTAAGGGAATCACTGCAATTGTTAATTTAGTAACCCAGTTAAGTGACTCTGGCTTCCTCACATGGACTTTGCTTGTCAAAAGGTTGCAAAAGGGGATCACATGACACTGGGATTTTGCAACCATCATAAATGTGAATCATTTGCCAAGCATCCAAATATTGATCACGTAACTATGGGGTTACTGCAAGGGTTGTAAGTGTGAAAAATGATCATGTGTGGGGGAAATTTAAAAATAAAAATATATATGCTTTTAGTATTATCATGTAATCATATTTTATAATTATCATTGTATAATCAATTGCCTGAGTAGATGCTTTGAGTATATAGGGAACATACAAGCCTCAGGTGGAGGAAGGGGGAGAACAGGAGTTACCATGGGGCCCAGTGTGAGTCACCATCTAGGAATTGTTTTTAAGTACCTTCTGGTGCCTGGTACCCCTACTGGATCTAACAGGTGTAGAAGATGGGAGACATCTCTCCTCTAGAACTGATATAGGATAGTAGGGGAGGGAGCTTATTAGTATAATGTATTCTGTTTAGGCGCTTCTGATAGATGGTAACCTCCAAAGCCTAAGCCAATGGGGCCATGGGGGAGGGAATGAGGCATCGTGGTAGGATGTATAATAATATGTGATTTTGGAATTTGGGGTGTGGTTCAGTGCTTGGCTACATTGCATTGCCTTCCTGAATCCACCACGCTTTGCAAACCGTTATTTTTTTAGACTTTGTTGTGAAGTCTAATAAACTTCTTTTCTATTTGTAACTCAGAGTGGATTTCAGTTTGTGACTATTTTTGTGTCTAACAATTTTGGTGCCGAAACCCGGGACTCAATGGGATTTCATTGGAGGATGATGTGGAAGGCATGCCCTGTCAAGTTCGACAGTCTAGCTTCGAACTGCAGGAGTGATGGGTGCTGAACAAACCCTAGAGCCCTACGAACCTAAATAGAAGTTGCAAATAGAAACGAAGGGTGAGGGAACCAGGAATAGAGATTGCTGGCCTCAGGAAAAATCGGGTAACTTCACGCATGAACCTAGGTGACTAATATCTGGGGTGGCCAGATGAAAACCATCTAGGCAGTTGGGGGAGGACTGGGTAGGACTGTTTGAATCTGAGATCTGTGAGAGGAGTGCATTAGACGTCCCAAGTACCACAGGGGGTAGCAAGACGGTGTGGGAGCTGACCCTTCAGTTTTTGCCCTACCCCCATGAGAGGATTGGAGTAGAAAAAGGGAGAAGCAGGAGCTTGGTGGAGCGAAAGGTGGTCTCATTTGGTTGGTAAGGATAAGATAACAGTATGGTAAACCAGTATGGGCAATTCTCAGAGTGTTCCCAAAAGGAAATGTGTGAAGAAAATTAGGAAGAATCCTAGGTTAAGCATAGATACAGGGAGTCCTTTAGGACTCCTACTAAGTAATTGGGGTAAGTCGCCTTATAATAAGATAATTGATAGATAAAATTTGACTAATGATGAATTTGTGTTGCTTTGTTTGGTGGGAGGAATTGGAACCTGGCCCCCAACAACAGACAGAGAAGGAGGAAAGTGTATGTTCAGAGAGATACAGAGAAAGTAAGGCAGAAAAGTAAGATGATGGTAGCAACAGTACAGCAAGTGATGAAGCAGGAAAAAGCTCCTAGAAGAGAGTTTGGGGATAAGCAGAGTCTCTTTGAGACAAGATATAGGAGGGATGAAAGGAACCAGTATGTTAATGGGAGTAGAGGAAGGGGATTTGGAGGATTTTGGGGTGGATACCAGAATAAGGAGAGAACGTGCTTTGGATGTGGAATGAAGGGCCACTTTTAAAAAAGATTGCCCTAAATGCGAGAGAGAACAGCAAGTTTACTCAGTGTGGGAAGAAGAGGATAGTTTTTACTAGGGGAGGGAAAGGAGCTCATTGGCTTTTGAACAGCTCCTTGAAATTATAATAATAGTTATTGATTTGTCTTTCTTTCTTTTCTTTTCCTTCTTTCCTTCTTTCTTTTTTTCTTTCTCTTCTTGATCTCTGAATGTTTCACCTCCATTTCTGGCAGGGATCAAGTCAGTTTCCTGCACTTTTTTCAATTCCAGTTTAGCTATGCGAATGGCAATTTTTTCTCATCAAATTGGAAAGAGAGATTAGGTGGGATGTTACTAGATCAGTGACGGTGAAACTTTTAGAGGCCGAGTGCCCAAACTGCAACCCAAAACCCACTTATGTATTGTCAGGTGCCATGTGAGTGTGGCCCATAGGGTGGGTGTGGCCATTTGGGTCAGCATGGCCCATTGGATGGGCGTGGCTGCGGGTGGTAACGGCAGACTGGATGGGACTAAAAAGTTCAATCAATCAATTCCAACTTTGTGAGATCTTTTTTTTCCTGTGAGAAGTTAAAATTGATTGATTGATTGAACCTTTTGGGGGGGGGGGCACACGGTGGCAGAGGCCTAAAGCGAAAAGGTTTTATAAAACCCAGCTGAAGACCTAGGACTGGGGCGACACTGCGCGTGCCCAAGAGAGGGTTCTGTGTGCCACCTGTGGCATGTGTGCCATAGGTTCGCCACCACGGTACTAGATTCAGCCCTCGGTCCTCTACCTTTTTTTAAAAAATGACTTGGGGGGGGGGGGAAATGATGAATTCTGTAAGTTTGCAGATGATACACAACTGGATGGGTAAAATTCTAAAGCAGATTCCACATTCAAAACCAACCTGAGAGGGTAGGAGAAAAGGCAGAATAGCATAAAGATATTTCAATGTTTTGAATTGTTTTAATGGCTTTTACTGTTTTAAAATGTTTTGAAGATTTTAATTGTAATATATGTTTTTGAATTGTGAGCCGCCCAGAGTTGTTTACTCAGATGGGGAGAAAAAGGAAAGAAAAGGAAGGAGAGAGAGAGAGAGAGAGAGAGAGAGAGAGAGAGAGAGAGAGAGAGAGAGAGAGAGAGAGAGAGAGAGAAAGAAAGAAAGAAAGAAAGAAAGAAAGAAAGAAAGAAAGAAAGAAAGAAAGAAAGAAAGAAAGAAAGAAAGAAAGATCTGTTGGAGACAAATGCAAGGTTCTTTACTAAGGAAATGATTATGACATGGCAACTGTTTTAGAAAGAAGATTGTAGTTCAGTGGTGCCGCCGCTGTCAGCAGGTTGTGCAGGTCCATTAGTCTGCTGCTGCCCGGAGCGGCAGCCCCACCAGGCAAAAAGGAGGCGAAGCAGCCAGCTAGCAAGCTCGAGTAGAGGTGGTAGAGCATGTCCACACCCAGCAAACCAAAGGCGACCCCAAGCAGGGAAAGCTGGATCCCCATCGGCACCATGGCCCCCCAGTCCCAGCTAGGATTGCGTGCTTCCTCCCATCTATGCTGGGCCTCCTGCCCACTACCCCACCTGCCAGAGACCCTCTGGATTGCCCCCAACCCTGCCTGGCCCCCACAGGTGCCCCCCCAATGAGCAACATTGGAACATTCCACACTTGGAATACTGTATCCAGTTTTGGTCACCACGATGTAAAAAAGATGTTGAGACTGTAGAAAGAGTACAGACAAGAGCAACAAAGATGATTAGGGGACTGGAGGCTAAAACATATAAGGAATGGTTGCTGGAATTGGGTATGTCTAGTTTAACAAAGAGAAGGATGAGGGAGGACATGATAGCAGTGTTCCAATATCTCAGGGGCTGCCACAAAGAAGAGGGAGTCAAGCTATTCTCCAAGACACCTGGAGAAGGCAGGACAAGATGCAACGGATGGAAACTAATCAAGGAGAGAAGCAACCTAGAACTAAGGAGAAACTTCCTGATAGTTAAAACAATTAACCAGTGGAACAACCTGCCTCCAGAAGCTGTGAATGTGCCAATACTGGAGTTTTTAAGAAGCGACTGGACTGCTATTTGTCTGAAATGGTATAGGGTTACCTGCCTGAGCAGGAAACAAGATGACCACCAAGATCCCCTCCTCCTCCTCCTTCTCCTCCTCCTCCTCCTCCTCCACCACCATCACCACCACCACCACCACCACCATCATCAGGCTTTCATGCTGAAGGTGGGACTACAACTTACAGTTTCCTGCTTTCTAGCCTGGTGTCTTAACCCCTAAACCAAAATGACTCCATGTTTTTCTGTAACTCAAGCAACCACCCCACCCTTTTGACTTTTAACAGTGTGCATGTGTTGGGGGAGGGGGGAAGATGATGATTGACAGAAGGAGAATGCAATGTTTCACAGAAATTAGGGAGCTTTCAGAACTTACACATTACTTTTACAAACCATACTTTATAACTCCCCGAGGTTTGTTCACCAACTTCAGTTCTCTAATCTTGCACCACGATTTCCTTGCTTTGTCCTCGTACAGAGTGCAAGCCATGCAAGATTGAGATTATATTCCCCTTGCATATTTGAGGCTGGAAAACGGATTGCTATTGGATTACCATTATTTAGAAACAACAGCTTTGTTACTTTGGTTTTACAACAATTGCCACTGCCTTCTTTCTACCAAGGGCCAGGTAAAGAGAGCCTTACCTGGAACTAGAGAACTCTGCATGCTAATTATTATTTTTTGTAATTTTAACCACTGAAAATAGGCACTACCAAACACCCTATAGTTTCCACCCTATCAAGGAAAGAAATCCGTATCATTATATCCTTCCCGCATATATTTTTGTTTTCAAGATCTGGTAAACATGATGATGGAAATGTATGCTGCCCCTGATATTCACACTGTTGTTCCAGCGGGAAACTCTGCTGACCCAAAGATGCTTTTTCAAGAGGCAACTGGATTTTCTTGCTTTTATTTGAAGACATTTCGCTTGTCACCCGAGAAGCTTCTTCAGGTTTAGAGCTGAAGAAGCTTCTTGGATGAGAAGCGAAACATCCTCAAAGAAAAACAAGAAAGTCCAGTTGCCTTTTGAAAAGGCGCCTTTGGGACAGCCATGACCGGGATGACGGAGAATCTCCATGGACACTTAGAAGCTCTGCTGTGTTGTGGTAGGTTAAGTCAACAAGATATTAAACCCAGGCCAATTTTAGAGAATAGACATTTATTGACTCTTTCTAGCATAAAAGCAAGAATTTAATGCAGGAGAGTTGTTTACTATAATGTTTAGTAACTTCAGAATGACTAACATAGTTCTTATATGTGGCAGAAAAGCTGTAATGAATCAGTAAAAGAAATATTAACATGTAAAAGTAACAACTGAACGGCAAAAAGAGTTAAAAAAAATCCTATTTCAGTCTTAAGATTGCAACCATATGGAAAACAACATAGTGTAATAGCAGTTAATAACTGTATGATTAACAACCAAATAAAAGAAATTCTTATTATCTAACCCAAAACTCAATGTTTAATTACTCTGTTCATTCTGGCTGATTTGATTAACCTCTTTCTCTTGATTTCCTGGAAACTTACCGTCTAAAAGTACTTGAAGAGTATCTCTCTAAACCGGCACTCTTTTCCTCGTTAGGTACAGTTGTATCATCAGCTTTTGATGAAAAGGGATCCCTTCTTTAAAAAGTAACATTTTTACAATGCCTTGTTCTTAAGATTTGCTATCTTAAAGTTCATTTGCAGAAAGTAAATTAGGGGTGGTTGTTAGAATCTAGCCGTTCTTGAGCTGTACCAAAGTGATATGAAAAGGTGTTAGAAGGACTCAAGAAGCCGGGAAAACTGAGAATCTATCACCTATATTTCAGTGAGCAGAGTAATCCAAGCACCCATCTCTCTAAGAGATGATAGATCAGGCTGTTGGATCCAGCAGGGGGATGGACTAGAAGACCTCCATGGTCCCTCTGTTATTCTGTTAATTGATAAGCATCTCCAAAGAAATACAGACCTAAAATTGCTAACCCCAGGAAAAAAATGTAGACATTGTATTCATCCCCCAATTAATGTGTGTGCATGGATATATGAAGAGAGAGAGAGAGAGAGAGAGAGAGAGAGAGAGAGAGAGAGAGAGAGAGACTTGATTGTACCATCACTCCAAAAATGAAGGAAGCCTGTAGTGACAATAGAATTAACAGCAATGAATGAAATTGGACATCACATTTTTAATATTGAACTCAAACTACATACAGTACATATCCCAACCCCTTTCTCTATCCTAGAGACACAAAGTATGGTAAAAAGAGAAGCACATGAAACACACTTCAGCTTTTCCTCCACCAGAAACAGCCCAAAAAGAGAGGAGTGGTAGGGCAGACAAACCAGTAAGCAGATCAGCAGACAGAGGGAGAGGTATTGGTCCATAAAAATTGATCGAAGTGGAAAAGAGGTAACTGGTGCACTAAAGGAGAAACAAAAATAGAAATATTTAGTAGGAGCCAACATGAGCCCTACCTCAGAAATGATCAGCCAAGGTGATTTTTGAAAGGATCTTATTCTGTTCCAGACAGAACAGACTGCTTTCCGTCCAATCCAAAACAGATAGATAACTCAGAAGAATAAACAGAAAATATTGCTTTTATTTCTAGGAATCCTAAACAATAACTCACTCTTATGTAGCTACGTCCAGAAACATATTTGCAATATTGGTTTATTCCACAGGTAAATTGATATTGAATTTTCCCCTCTTCTTCTGCTGAGCATCACAAAGGATCTCCAAGCCGTGTGGCTAGGAGACATGAGGCTGGATGAAAAAAGGCATTCCCATCTGGCTTGTGTCCAGGAAGTCTCCCAATGTCCAATGACCTTTTGAGACTCCTCCCACTGACCCATCAACATACCTAGCATTTAACCCAATAACTGCCAGATATTCTAACATACTGATACATGCTCACTAGTTAGGGATACATAGAGCTATATGGTTCAGAATAGATCCTGAATGGCAATATCTATAGCCGTTTCTTGGTTTTCTAGTTTTAGCAAATACAAGATGATTGAGTGGCCCAATTCACATCCTATTACTCTGAGGGAAATGCAATAATACAGAAGAGCCTAGACCAGGGGTAGGCAACCTTGGCTCTTTTATGACTCGTGGACTTCAACTCCCAGAATTCCTGAGCCAGCTATGCTGGCTCACGAATTCTGGGAGTTGAAGTTCACGAGTCATAAAAGAGCCAAAGGTGCCTACCCCTGGCCTAGACTGCCTCCATTTCCCTCATAGTTTGAAAGACATTTCTACATGAATTGATCAGCTTCATCCTCGGTGATTTCCCTCATTCCTTTGTGCACATTATGTTCGATCGCTTTCCTCTCAGCTTCCGGCACTTCTGGCAAGACAGCCTTCAGCTCAGAATTGATTTTGGCCACTCTGGCATGGATGTTATTTTCAAATTCTTTCTTTTGCTTAATGACCAGGTCCTTTATCGCTTTTTGGGCATTGTCACAGCCGTCTGCTAGTTTGATCCGCTCCATCCGGAATTGGGGATCAGAAGGGTCCATGGAAATAAGCCTGCTCAGGCTGCCCACATTATCCATCAGGTATTTTGAAGACACGTCTGTGTAGGTCTCGGATATCATGTGCACCAAATGAGCTATGTTGGACGCATTGAAGGCCTGTTTATAGATCATATCTATGATAAAGTCTTGGTGAGAATAATTTGGAATTTGGGGAAGATCTTCGGCCAATTTCACAAATTCCGTCAGGCGCTTATTGAGACAGGAATCAATGAGATTCGAGATCATCTGGAAGAAACGCACCATTTTCTCCCACTGCTCCTTCACTCTTCCCATGGCGTCCAGGCATTTGATCAGCATGTTTTGGGCTTTTTCAAAATCAATCTCCTTTATTTCGCATTTCTTCATTTCACTGAGCACGTCCAGCAAATCCTTATTCTGCTCCTTTAAGTTGTCGAAGCTTTTCTGGTATTCTTCTTGACACATCTTCAGTATTTCTTTCGTTTGCTCGGTTTTCAAAAGGCTGTTTTTCATCGCCGATGACAACGATGAGTCTTCTTGGACATTTCTCTGGGATTTGGACATATTTGGTGCCATGGGACCAAAAGGGGATGTGCGGCTGCAGAATTTGCTTCTGCTGTCGAAAACCTCAATATCAATCGAGAGGGTGTTAATTTTCTTTATCAGTTTTTTCTGGTTTATGTTCCCTGATACTGCTCTTTCAGTTAACATATTGGAAATCTTGATGATATCGTTACATATTTTCACTGCTACATTTTTCAGGCTGCAGTTTCTTTCTTTTTTTATTTTCTCTAAAAGTTGCTGGGATTTCTTTTTGGTCCATATGGTTTTGATTTCATTGTTTTTTTTATTGTAGAGGACATCCATGTTAATATTACCTTCATCATCCACCACGGTTTTAAGACCGTCCACCAATGCCACCAGTTGACCTGACAGGGCACAGATGTTGTTCATGGCTATAAAGTCATCCCTACTTTCAAACTCTTCCTCACTTCTGCTGTCGATTGGAGAAAGCAATTGATTTCTGTTAGAGCTGACCAAGGATGTCAGGCAGGTAATGGGCACCGTCAAGGTTTCTCTTACAGTTGAAGTGAAATCCAGAATTACACTACTCCAGCCGGTAGGAATGCTATCTATCGCTTTTCTATAATCGTCAAACGTATCAGTCACTCTGTTCTTTACTTCCTTGTAGTATTCCTCTGCTTTGGCCTTGGTTTCTTCAGCTGCTGCTTTTCTTTGCTTCAGGTCTTCCAAGGCTTGTTTGGTTTGCGTCAGTCCTTGTTCATACTGTGATTTGGAACTCATACACACTTCCAGGAGTTCCTCAGTCAGACAGATGACATCATAGAACTTATTGTCAACTGCCTTAGCCAAAGAGGAACATTCATTTGCAATTGATTTCAGGCTGGATAGCTGTCCAGGGAGCAAGGCATCTATCAAGGTAAGGTCATCCTGGAATAAGGTCTTCATGACCATCTTGATTTGCTCAGGGACGCTCATAGAAAGCAGCCGGATGCCATCCATATTCTTGTGGGCTATGCTGAAGGCATGCCACCCACTGTTGCTCACCTGCATCAGGGAGGCCTGGAAAGAGTTCGGATACCTCATATATTTGTAGCCTCCCTCGGGTGGGGCAAGATTGATGGCAAAGTCTCCTTGTCCTGCGGCAATGCAAGCCAGCTCCCCTAAGAGGGCGATGGCAATGGGCTCAGGCATCAGATACTCCTCCCAATTTGCATGGGGCTTCATCATCAGTTCTGTCTCCTTTCGGACTTCCTCTGCTTTGCTAATGTTCATCACGGCTCTCGTAGCAAGCGCACCTTTGGGCTGGACAGCCATTTCAGCCTGGATAAAACAAAAAGAAGAAGAAGAAAGGTTGAACTGTAGTCTCTGGAATACCTCGATTGGAAAAGAACCCAGTGAACTCAGGAGTTCTAGAAGACTTTGCCACGTCCAGGATAACACAGTCATAACGTTTTTTTACTGGCGCTAATTTCCTTTTCAGAAATATGCATGCCAAGCACAGGAAACCAGGAGCTGAGGCGGTTGAAATGAATACAGGTTTATTGCATGTTAGCACTCTCTACAAGAATCTGAAGTGCTAACGGTTAAAGGAAGATTGGTGGTCGATAAGGGTCAACGGAATTCAAGGTGCGCTGGACTTAGATCTCTTGTGAGCGCAAAGGGACTCGAGACTGATGATGTGCTTGACCCCTCCCTCGGGCTCAGTCTGGTCATCTCCTACAATGCAAAATTTGCCTGACTTGCTGCATTTTCATAAATTAGATTTAGAAATTCACTTCTGAACCTTTGTTTCACATGTACTTAGCTTGCTTCTATCAGAAATGTTGAATTTTAGCTCCTATAACCTCCAAAGCCAACCCAACGGCCACATTCAATGGGGATTTATAGAATTAACACCCAACATATCTGGACAGAATTTTTTAAATATTAATTTAATTAATATTAATTAAATGTTGTTTATTAAGTCTTTAAATGTTGTTTAACCAGTGCCAGCAATAAAAATGAATACATTTTTATACTTCAATCTAAATAACTGAAAACAGCTATATGATTAAAAAACCTAAACAATAAAGCTAAAAGAAAAAAAAGAAAAAAACTAAAAAGAAAAAAATGCAGAACAATGTTCCAATAATATTTTCTACTTGCTTAGTATGCCAAAATCAGCAAAATCATAGTTACACAAATCATTAGAGTCAATGTTTGAACAAGAAATCAAACCAAGTTTATATGGAGTCCTGTTATCTGATCTTGCCTTTCTGGCAATACAAAATCTGTTCAAAGATTGAAAGCTGACAAATTCTGTTTAACCAAATTTTGAAGTCTCAAATACATTCATTCTTCAACTAATTACACGATCCCATTTAGTGCCATAGTAAAACCACAATACAGATAGTCCTCAACTTACCACCTACAACCATTCATTTAGTGACCATTCAAACTTACAACAGCACTGAAAAAAGTGACCCATGACTCTTTCACATTGAACAACCATTGCAGCATCCGCCTGGTCACATGACCAAAATTCGGACATTTGGCAACTGGATCCTATTCGTGGCAGTTGCAGTGTCATGGGGTCAGGTCTGTTGTGGCCTCCTGATAAGCAAAATCAATGGCAAAGCTAGATTCATTTAACAACCGTGTTACTAACTTAACAACTTTGGTGATTCACATAACTGTGGCAAGAAAGATCATAAAATGCTGCCAAACTCACTTAATAACTATCTTACTTAGCGATGGAAATTTGTTGTCGTATTTCAAGAACTACCTATACCTCAAAATATCTTTGTAGTAAAATTCAAGCTTTCCAATGTTTTAACTGGAAACACGTTCACTTCTTTCAATGTAAGTCTCTCCCTCCCAAACAGGAACTTGACTTATACATTTAATAAATTGATAGTTTAGTTGAATGCATAAAGGGAGATAAATAATGAAAGACCTGTCTTGCTTCTTCCGGTCTTTCATTTCCCTCTGACTTTGATTCAAGCCAGATTCACATCTTTAAATGTAACATGACTTATCCATTTAATAAATAACTGAAAACTGAATGCATATTTTGTTTTGCTTATTCTGACTTCATCTTTCATTTCCCTCGGACTTTGATTCAAGCCAGGTTCAAGAGATTCCTTTGACACCCCGGAATGTATTAAGAGTTACAGTACAATTAGATTTCACCAACAGGTGGGATTTAAGGAAAAAGCCACTTTACAGCCACCTCCTTCCGTGAACTCAGGAACGGAGAAGAGAAACAAGCTTAAATTACATCCTCGCCATAATCTGCTTCCAAATCCTAATGGAACACACACTTGTTTCCTCAGCCTCCTTACTCCGAGCTCTGCACGACTCTTTTCAGCTATTGTCATCCCCTAGCGGAGCACAGTGACACATAATTTTCAGACTTCGGCTGAATCCTGGCTTCCCTGCTCTTCCCCCATTTCATATGAGGACACCCCCAACCTCCACTGCAGAATCTGTCTCCATCCTCTCACTGGGCTTTCATTCAGTTCACTGTCCATAACCAGAAAATCAGCCTATCTCTGGCTCCCCCCCCCCATACTCTGTGTTTTCCACCCCCTGCGGGAGAAAGTTTTATGCTCCCTTAAGGACACGACCCTATGGAGGCTCACCTGTTGGTAAAAGACGCCGTGAGAACCACCATAAGAAATACCCCCTCCCCCGAGAGAGAGAGAGAGAGAGAGAGAGAGAGAGAGAGAGAGAGAGACTCACGTCGGAACTTGTTTGTCTTTGAAGTTCAGACTGGAGAGGAGCCAAACCCGGCTATATTCGCTCTGCGAGGGGTTTCGATGCTTTTGTGAAGCTCGAGCGGATGCGAGTGCTTTTTATGCAGCCTGTTTAGTTTCAGTTTCTGCTTTGCACTGATTCCTGGAAATCAGGCGTGTTCGGAAATCAGCCCAAGTTGTAAAAGGCGGCTTTTGTACCCAGAGCCTTAACTCTAAATCCTCCCCTGGATGCTTCAGGGAACTTCCAGAGGCCACCTGTGGAAACTCTGCAGCCTCTCTTAAAATGGGGCATTGCAAATCAAAACAGTTTCTGGTTTTATAAATACCCTCTGGACCTCTGAATGGGGAGTCCTTTCTTTCTTTCTTTCTTTCTTTCTTTCTTTCTTTCTTTCTTTCTTTCTTTCTTTCTTTCTTTCTTTCTTTCTTTCTTTCTTTCTTTCTTTCTTTCTTTCTTTCTTCTCTTCTTGATCTCTGAATGTTTCACCTCCATTTCTGGCAGGGATCAAGTTAATTTCCTGCACTTTTTTCAATTCCAGTTTAGCTACGCGAATGGCAATTTTTTCTCATCAAATTGGAAAGAGAGATTAGGTGGAATGCTACTAGATTCAGCCCTCTGTCCTCTACCTTTATTATTATTTTTTAAATGACTTGGGGGGGGGGGAATGATGAATTCTGTAAGTTTGCAGATGATACACAACTGGATGGGTAAAATTCTAAAGCAGATTCCATATTCAAAACCAACCTGAGAGGGTAGGAGAAAAGGCAGAATAGCATAAAGATGTTTTAATGTTTTGAATTGTTTTAATGGTTTTTACTGTTTTAAAATGTTTTGAAGATTTTAATTGTAATATATGTTTTTAAATTGTGAGCCACCCAGAGTTGTTTACTCAGATGGGGAGAAAAAGGAAAGAAAAGAAAAGGAAGGAAAAGAAAAAGAGAGAGAGAAGGAAGGAAGGAAGGAAGGAAGAGAAAGAAAGAAAAAGAAAGGAAGGAAGGAAGGAAGGAAGGAAGGAAGGAAGGAAGGAAGGAAGGAAGATCTGTTGGAGACAAATGCAAGGTTCTTTACTAAGGAAATGATTATGACATGGCAACTGTTTTAGAAAGAAGGTTGTAATTTATTGAAGAGGAGAGCCAGACAGAAAGATGACTCTGGAAAAAAGTGACCACATGGAGCAGAATGGTGGGCTTTTATACCTTCTGGGGTCTCTTGAGGTTGTTTCCTGTTCCTGTTTGAGGCTTTGTATTTCCTGTGTCATGTACTTTGACCTCAGTCTGAGTGTGCCCTTTTGGTATTGGTGGGTTAATCCTATTATGTCCTGGCTTAGAGTTTGAGTGGGGTATGTAGATTTTAGGGGTCTTTGTCTTCCTAATCTCTTCAGTTTCTAGATGGAAGGCGGCAACTTTTCTGAAAGAATGATTACATTTGCGTTTCTAAAAGCTGGCTTTTGCTGAGTTCCCTGGCTGGGAGGGGGGGGGGGAGAGAATTTTCTGCCTTTTTAAAGCGGGGGGAGAGAAGTTTCTGCCTTTTTAAAGATCTTCTCCATCATTCCTTTGGGGAAATATATTTTGCCTTTTTAATATTCCCCCAAATATTTCTTTCTCTGGATTCTTCCCACAGAGTATATACTGTATATAAATACAGGCACCCTTCGAGTTACGACCACAATTGAGCCCAAAATTTCTGTTTCCAATAAGACAGTTGTTAAGTAAATTTTGCACCATTTCACTACCTTTCTTGCCAGAGTCATTAAGGGAATCACTGCAATTGTTAATTTAGTAACCCAGTTAAGTGACTCTGGCTTCCTCACATTGACTTTGCTTGTCAAAAGGTTGCAAAAGGGGATCACATGACACTGGGATTTTGCAATCATCATAAATGTGAATCATTTGCCAAGCATCCAAATATTGATCACGTAACTATGGGGTTACTGCAAGGGTTGTAAGTGTGAAAAATGATCATGTCACTTTTTTCAGTGCCGGTGTAACTTTGAACAGAAACTAAATAAAATGTTGTAAGTCAAGGATTCCCTGTAATGAGGACCATCTGGAATGAGAGTTGTATTCATAAAAAAAAAACATAGTGTTGACTAGGGCAGTGTTTCCCAAACTTGACAATTTTAAGGCATGAGGACTTCAACTCCCAGAATTCCACAGCCAGCAACGCTGGCTGTGGAATTCTGGGAGTTGAAGTCCACATGGCTTAAAATTGTCAAGTTTGGGAAACACTGGACTAGGGTATATCATGTGGCTACCGAAGGCTACAAGCAAATTTTCCCAGAAGGGATGCTGACTTTATGTCAAAATGTGGGGGAAATTTAAAAATAAAAATATATATGCTTTTAGTATTATCATGTAATCATATTTTATATTTTATAATTATCATTGTATAATCAATTGCCTGAGTAGATGCTTCAAGTATATGGGAAAAATACAAGCCTCGGGGGGGGGGGGAGAACAGGAGTTACCATGGGGCCCAGTGTGAGTCACCATCTAGGAATTGTTTTTAAGTACCTTCTGGTGCCTGGTACCCCTACTGGATCTAACAGGTGTAGAAGATGGGAGACATCTCTCCTCTAGAATTGATATAGGATAGTAGGGGAGGGAGCTTATTAGTATAATGTATTCTGTTTAGGCGCTTCTGATAGATTGTAATCTCCAAAGCCTAAGCCAATGGGGCCATGGGGGAGGGAATGGGGCGTCGTGATAGGATGTATAATAATATGTGATTTTGGAATTTGGGGTGTGGTTCAGTGCTTGGCTACATTGCATTCCCTTCCTGAATCCACCACGCTTTGCAAACCGTTATTTTTTTAGACTTTGTTGTGAAGTCTAATAAACTTCTTTTCTATTTGTAACTCAGAGTGGATTTCAGTTTGTGACTATTTTTGTGTCTAACAATTTTGGTGCCGAAACCTGGGACTCAATGGGATTTCATTGGAGGATGATGTGGAAGGCATGCCCTGTCAAGTTTGACAGTCTAGCTTCGAACTGCAGGAGTGATGGGTGCTGAACAAACCCTAGAGCCCTACGAACCTAAATAGAAGTTGCAAATAGAAACGAAGGGTGAGGGAACCAGGAATAGAGATTGCTGGCCTCAGGAAAAATCGGGTAACTTCGCGCACGAACCTAGGTGACTAATATCTGGGGTGGCCAGATGAAAACCATCTAGGCAGTTGGGGGAGGACTGGGTAGGACTGTTTGAATCTGAGATCTGTGAGAGGAGTGCATTAGACGTCCCAAGTACCACAGGGGGTAGCAAGACGGTGTGGGAGCTGACCCTTCAGTTTTTGCCATACCCTCATGAGAGGATTGGTGTAGAAAAAGGGAGAAGCAGGAGCTTGGTGAAGCGAAAGGTGGTCTCATTAGGTTGATAAGGATAAGATAACAGTATGGTAAACCAGTATGGGCAATTCTCATAGTGTTCCCAAAAGGAAATGTGTGAAGAAAATTAGGAAGAATCCTAGGTTAAGGATAGATACAGGGAGTCCTTTAGGACTCCTACTAAGTAATTGGGGTAAGTCGCCTTATAATAAGATAATTGATAGATAAAATTTGACTAAAGAAGATATGGTGAATTTGTGTTGCTTTGTTTGGTGGGAGGAATTGGAACCTGGCCCCCAACAACAGCCAGAGAAGGAGGAAAGTGTATGTTCAGAGAGATACAGAGAAAGTAAGGCAGAAAAGTAAGAGGATGGTAGCAACAGTACAGCAAGTGATGAAGCAGGAAAAACCTCCTAGAAGAGAGTTTGGGGATAAGCAGAGTCTCTTTGAGACAAGATATAGGAGGGATGAAAGGAACCAGTATGTTAATGGGAGTAGAGGAAGGGGGTTTGGAGGATTTCGGGGTGGATACAGAATAAGGAGAGAACATGTTTTCGATGTGGAATGAAGGGCCACTTTTAAAAAAGATTGCCCTAAATGCGAGAGAGAACAGCAAGTTTACTCAGTGTGGGAAGAAGAGGATAGTTTTTACTAGGGGAGGGAAAGGAGATCATTGGCTTTTGAACAGCTCCTTGAAATTATAATAATAGTTATTGGTT